GCCAGGAAAACAAACTCTCTGGGTTATCTTTGCTTTGAAATTAGTACAGATAATTTTACAAAGCTATCTGAGTTGCTTGGAGCCTTGAGCCAGTAATTTCTATCTCACTATTCCTCATAGGAAGAAAAACGTCAGGGTTGTTGAGACAATCTGCCTCCCAAAGTATAGCTGTAGTCTCTTGTGGAGTTAATGAGCATGTTAACAGCCCTGCTTCCTCCTATCACTGGAATAGTTCATGTCTTTGGGGCACTGACTCAAGAGAATTTTCTTCATAGTCAAAGAACAACACTTTCAAGACAGAAGTTCAAATCAGCTATGCCTTTGAGAGAATAAATTTATCTTTACAGATATATTACACATATTAGAATATTAAGCTATGGTTTACAACCAGACAGGTCACAGATGATGAATGTGATAATTTGCTTGCTATTAAATGGGTTGCCTTTGAGAACATATTGTAAGTGAAATATTGTGAATGGCTATCACCTTGTCTATAGAAATAGTTTGACCTGCTGCAAATGTTACCTAATTCAATACTCCATTATCACTTCCTTGTCTTTTCGTAAGGCTGTCAAAAATAAGAACATTTAATGATCAAATAATATATGAAAAAAATTCCTTAGTCATCCAAATAACCTCATTTCTCACATTAGCTGTGGCTTATAATAAGACAGTTCTTTCAGTAATATAAAGTTTCTAGATTAGCCAAGGTGAGATATATCCAATTCTGTACCAACTTTAATAGACTTCAATCACAATACTTGAGAGTTTTTCAAATTATAGCTTGAAATGTCAGAGTTGGACACCTTCAGAGATCGTTTGCTTGTTTTCATTGATATGTTCATATTTGAAGGGATACATATACTTTTTAGTTGCTTGAGTAACAAGGAAGAATTTAAATAAAATTTTCTAGTCACCCACACATATCTTAAGAGGTCCATCAAAGTACATAAGTTGTACCTAAAAGCATGTACATTGGTGTATCCAGAATATTTCCACTATGAAGTGGAGAAATATTTCCCCATCCATGAAAATATACGTGCATAAGCTTCCTCACAAATTTACATACAATTTCATGAGGGTCTCAGATCCTCTGAAAACTACATGCACCCTCACAACATCAGAGTTTCCAAGCTAAGCACTCTGGGTTTAGACTATTTTCTCCTATGGGTGCACCATGTGTGCCTTCTCCTTATTGGCCACCAGAAATCAGAACTTTCAGTTTCCAAAAGTATGGATTTAAGGAATGCTGGTGGTGGTGGTGTTGTTTCTAGGAAAACGAGCATGCTTCCTTGAGAATTAAAGTAAATTTCCCACAAGGTATGGAGTTGGAAATTCTGGGCTCTGTCTCGGGTCCTGAAACCTAGGTCCAAGGTCACAAGGAGCTGTCCAAGGTCCCAAATGTCTTAGGCCAGTGCTTCTCCAAGTATGATCTACAGATAACCTGCATTAAAATCAACTGAGTGTGTGCGTTACACTGCAGATTCCTGATCCATCCAAGAACCATTGAATCAGAAACTTTGAGGGTAGGTCCCACAAATCTGCATTTTAAGGAGTGCCTCAGGAGATTCTTATGTCTGACGCTAAGATAATGTCTACCAAATGTTGGTACCACTTTGTTTACGGCTGGAAACCATTTAATCCCATTTAAATTCACTGATCATTATAAATGCACCTGCTACCTTTAATACCATCTATATTAACAATCATAATGAGTTGCTATATTCCTGTAGAAGACATTGACCAACTTTCTTCCAGATGTTTTCTGTCACAATTTAGCACCAACCAAACATAAAAATCCAAGCCCTATCAAATCTCAAGAAAAGCAAACTCTTTTGAAAGTCAACTTCCTTGATCTTTTCACAAATCTTTCCTCCTTATCCACTTTAATAATGAAAATAAGTACAATTATGGGTAACCAATATTTACTGATTATTCACTCCATGCCTTCCATTAAACCCATCATAACATAGTAGTAAATGCAACAAAAAACATTTAATGAGTGCTTACTATATGCCCAGAATGCTTCAAAGTTCCTTATGTGATTGCATCATTTAATCTTTATAATACTGTACCTATGAGACCAAGAAAGACAGGAAAATGTGTATTCTATATTGCTTAAGGTATTAGTGCCATTTATAGGCTTTGTCATATAACTATGATGCCAAAGTTAATTCCCTAGTGTTCTTTTTTAAGGTATGAAAATGGGGAAGAAGACAGTGCCCATTACTGATCGCCTGCTGTATTTCTGGCACTTTAACGTGTTTTCTTCATTAAAATATCACCAACTATTTGTGAATAGATTTTATTACCCCATTTTAACAGGTTTATTGAAAGACTGACATATCATAAACTGCACATATTTAAAATATGCAATTTAATAAGTTTAGATATATGTATATACCTGGGAAGCCATATTGCAATCAAAGTAATGAACATATCTCTCAGCTCCAAAAGTTTTCCCATCTCCCTTTGTAATCCTTCCTCCTGCCCCTCCACTTGCTCATCCCCAGGCAACCATTGACCTGCTTTCTGACACTACAGATTAGTCTGCATTTTCTAATCTCTGTGTGTAATCCTTTTGTCTTGCATCTTATACCCAACATGATTATTTTAAGATTCATCTATGTTATTGCATTTATCAAAAGTTCACTCCTTTTTACTGCTGAGTGGTATTCCAATTGTCCCCATTTTATAGATAAGCAAACTGTGGAAATAAGCAACTAGTTCTGAGATTACATAGTAAAGGACCAGATTCAACTTTAAATCTGCCCAACACAAAAGCCCCATATTTTCCCACTAAAAAGTATGCCTCTCTTCATTTTTAACTGAGAAATAACTCTACATATATCTTCAGAATGGAAGAATCTGGCCTCCAAAGTCACCAGGCTATAGTAACCACACCAAAAATTGTTGCTGGAGGATTAATTGGAGAGGGTGTCAGCTGTCCTACCCACCTATCTCCACAATATGTGCTTAGCAGTACCACCCTTAAACTTTGGGCTTCAATTACAAAGTCATTCACCAGAAGAAGAACCCAGGAATCCTGGGGCTGCCAATATACATGAGACCACTGTATGCAGGCCCTAAGCTCTAGCTAGAGTCCTCTCTTATAGGCCAGAAGGGAAGGAAGTATGTGGGGCAAATGATGGAAGGTGGTCAAATGTATGGTAGAGTAGGAAGGCATCCAAAGAACTATGAAGGTCCTTATTGAACTGGGTCACTTGTGTGACTTGAAGGATAGACTTTTAGACTTTTAACTAAGGACAGAAGAGGAGATAAGAACTACAAAATGGGAAAGCAAGGAAAGGTAGACTAACCCTTGCCAAGCTCCCAAACTGTTAATTTGGTGATCTTAGGTGCTCATCACTCTTGAAATATAAAAATTTAACAGATTACATTTTTCCATGATTCTTGCAACATACTTTTGAGGAGGAATTATTCATAACACTATGAATAATAACTAGCAGTTATAGAGTGCTTATAATGCACTACACAAAAGAATCATATTCTATTTTCATTTTACTTCAGAGAAATCAGTTCTCAGAAAATATAAGTGACTGTCCAAGATCATACAGCCAGGGAGTGATTTAGTTATAGCCAGAATTCAGATCTCCAAGTCTTAGTCCAGTAATCTTCCCATGACTCAGACTCCAGACTTCCCTGCTTCCAGCCAATCATCCAAACACCACCACACACCTCACCATCATTGGTCCCAACCCAGGCTCACCCTAGAGTATATGCTGACTTATGTCCTTTGATTTCAAACCCCTGAAACCCTTATCTTCATCAGTACATGTCCTTCTATGTACACTGCCCTCAGAATACTGTTCAACACTAGAGTCAACTTAAAAGATACTCTAATAAACTAATAAACTAATTCTGCACCAAAAAGTTAATAATTACAATGTTATGCTTTTGTTGGGTACCAGTGGGGCTTAAGAAAACAGTGCCTAAAAGAATAATGCACATTGTGGACAAGAATATGATATACAGATTTTCCAAGTCCTATCTTCATACATGTGAATGTCATAGGTTTACAGACTAACTCCAGACAAAGCAAGCCACTATTCCTCTTTCAGAAGGGCCAACTCAGGATGAATGGCCTCTTGCCTGGGGGAGGAAGAAGGGAAATAATAATCATAATAGTTAAATGATATGAATAATAGGAGCCAACATTTATGGATTGCTTTGTATTGGGTATTTTATCAGTATTATCACAATTAAACCACAATTCCATGAAGTAGGTGTTATTGTTAGTCTCATTTCCAGATGAGGAAACTGAAACAGGGAGGCTATGTAATCCCACCATGCTAGTGCTAAGCAGGGCTGGGACTCAACAGCCGTTCTTTCAAACAGCAGAACGCTTTTTTGTTTGTTTGGTTTTTAGTCAAGGTCTCACTCTATCTTCTAGGCTGTAGTGCAATAGTACAATCTCATCTCACTGCAGCCTTGACCTCCCAGTCTCAAGTGATCCTCCCACCTCAGCCTCCCAAGTAGCTGGGACTTACAGGCACACATCACACGTCTAGCTAATTTTGTTTTACTTTTCGCAGAGAGAAGGTCACACTATGTTGCCCAGGCTGGTCTCAAACTCTTGGACTCAAGTTATCCTCCTGTCTCAGCCTCACAAAATGCTGAGATTACAGGCGTGAGTCATGACACCTGATCCAGAATGCTCATTCTTAACCAGTATACTGATCCCCACCAGTTATTGCTTATCGTGCACCTACTGTGTGCCTGGCACTGTGTGAACCTTAAACATATTAATTTCATTGAAACCTCATGGCAACCCTTGGAGATAGGCGTTATCATTGTCCCCATCTGACAGATGAGGCCCAAGAAAAAAAGGAAACTGAGTTAGTGTGGAGCTGGAACCGACAACAGGCATTCTGGCTGAGAGCTCTCTGAGAAATAAATATTCAGCACGACTGATTCCTATTCAAGTTTAGGTATTTCTCTTTCTACTTCATTTAGGTTAAAAGGCTTTCCTCTCCAAGAGCCTGGCAAGCCAAGCCTGCCCTCCGCGGGGCAACAGCGCGAGGCATTACCCCTACAGACCACTTGGGGGCACCATCCGTCCTGAGTTGGAGAGAACGAAGGGAAGCAGGGCTCCTTCACAAGGCTGCGGGGCTCCTCTCTGGGCCCGCCCCCATCCAGCAACAGCCAATCAGAAACTCACTGACAGCACTGGGCTCTCCACGGTAATGGCCGTGGATGATGATTGGCTAAGTCTCTTAAGGTCCGTCTGGTTTCTGGGGAGGTAGTGACACGCGCAGGACGGGAGGTCTCTGAAGCAAGAGGGGCTCCAGACATCATCTTTACCTGAATAAGCCCCAACGCTGGGAGTGTCAACCCGACCCTTCCACGGTGGAAAAGGCAGCAGCCAATTGCTATAGTCCCTTGAGGCTTTTCTCTCCCACCAGTCCTCACTCTGCCCTGTAAGGGGGTTCCTGGCCGCTTCAGCTCAGTTTGCTGCTTACCAATCCCTCGGCCCAAGGGGAGCGGGGCTCTGTGTGGCCGGAGCTGGGGGCCCACACGGAGCCCCTTGCCGGATGCCCCCAGGTTATGCGGAAGGGCCAGCCTAGGACAGCAGCCACTGCATTTCTTTGGCTTGCGCTGCGGTCCCGATGGAGCTCGGTTCTGACCCAGAACGTGAGATCAGGTTCTCATTCAGCCCAGGGCCTTGCACATGTGGCCCCACTGCTCGAACCTCTGCCTTTCAGAATCTCACACAAAGTTTTTCGCTTTCCCCTGCAGGGATGGTCCTCTCTAAGCGCCTTTGGAACTTTGTAAATAGCCGCATTGCAGCACTGCGCCATTGTTTTATTTATTTCACTCATGTTGGACTCAGGGTAGGGACCATATCTCCGTCTTTGCTTTGAGTAAGACATTTAAACTCTCTGTGCAGCATTTTTCTCAAGTGTAAAATGAGCCTAGTAGTACCTCTTGTATAAAGTTGTGTATACCTCGTGCATAAAGTTGTGTGCACTAATACATGTACAGCGCTTAGAAGAGAGTCTTGCACACAGCAGATGATCAGAAAATGTTGGCCACTTGTTATTCCTACAATGCCTAGCACAAACACATCATAAATACTCAACAGTGTTTAGAATCAGTTTCATATATTGTTATTGGAGGTTTAAATCTCAACTTTGTCGAAACTGCTACAAGAAGCAAACGGTAAATATCTATACATGGCTGTAAATGTGTCCAAGTGCTTCAACATGCCGTGGCAGTTGAGAACAGAAGGGAGCCTGGGTTCAAGCTATGACTGCAGCTGAACAGCCCAATGACCAATAGAAAATTAACTAAAAGTTAACTCCTCAACTATGGAATGGAGAGGATCATAATAGTATCTACTTCATCGGGTTGTGGTGCTTGCATTCTTATCCCACTTTCATTTTGGGAGCTAGGACAAGAATGTAATGACACATTATAGTATTTCTACCTTACATTTGTCTCCCACTTTAACTTTTGCAAGCACATTCATATATTATCTCATTTAATACAGCAACCCTGTGGAGCTCAGAGCACTTCCTGGTTTGTTGGAGTCCTACAGCATGTCCATGGTGAGCTGCAGCTCGGTTTTAGTGCAATTTCAATGTCAGTGCCATTGCTCTGCATCAGGACTGAGCCAGTGACCACCTGGATCTCAGATAAGCAGAAGGATTTGGATCCCAGATTTTCAAGCCAGTTGTTCTGTGTTTTATTTCTGATTACAGCAGAAAGATGTAATTACATTATCTTTTAAAATGTGAACAAAACAAAGTACAAAGTCCGGTTGACCCTCACACACTGCCCAGAGGCAGCCACTGTCATCCATTGAGTATGGCATCTTCCTCACCTCCTGGGTATGGTTTCATCTGTGTACATGTTGGGGGGAAAGCTAGGATTTTTTTGTTGTTCTTTTGCATAAACATGATTGTATTTTTAAATTTATTCTACTACTTGTTTTCTTCAATTAACAGTACATCTCAAAGATCTTTTTATGTCTATATCCTTATTTCTTTTTAACTACTGCACAGTCTTTTATACCTGAACTCATTTAACCATTCTCTTGTTGTTAATTCTAATGTTTAAAGCCAAGTTTTGTTGAGTCCCCCTCAAGTCCCAATTTTGTAGCTGCTTAGATTCTAAACAGTCTCTGGGCCTCAAGACTCAAGTCACCAGGACATGAAATCCTTATGGTCAAGAGTTCCACCTGGCTCCATATTCTTCCCATACTACAAGCCCAAGGCCCTGGCAAGCTGTGAAACTGGAGTCCCTCCTCCCAAGAGGAAAGAGTGGGAAAGAAGATGTCCACATAGGGCCAAAATGGGCTGATGATGACTTTACTCCTCAGAACATTGCTCAGAGCTAAAGACATCTCTGGAACTTTAAAAGCCTCATAATTACCTCCAAGAATCTGCATGGCTGAGATCCCTTCTGAAGAGGTAAAGCTGGTGAAACTCATTCTCTTCCTTGAGGCCCTGGTGACCTTCATGACTCAGTCCTTCCCCAGGCCCACCCCTCACCCCCAACACCCACAAGTGTCTCCCCAGGGCTGAAACCTCTGCTTCAGAACACAGACTTGGAATTGAATTGCAGGGGAATGGTGGGCACGTCCTGTGGATACTTGTGAAACACATGGACCTCAGATCCTCAGATAACCCCAAAAGAAATGATGCAGGCTAGCCAGGGACTGGTCTAGGGACAGTGTCACTTCAGGCAAAATGAGAGGTAGAAAATCAGGGTAGAAATCAGCATATTACAGGCACAAATCCACAACGGAATGTACTGACTTCATGACCCTTCACTCCATGCCCTTTCTACCCAGCTCCAAAAGGAATTCGCTTGCCTTTTCTCCAGCTACAACTAAAGATTCTCTGGAAGGAGAAATAGGTAAAGGTCTCATCACATGAATTCCAGACACATCTCTGGTGCACCCAGCATTTGTACATTAGCCAAAAAGCACATATTCCCAGTTGAATACAATCACACACATATAACACAGATGTAGTCATGTTCACAATCAGGACACCAAACTGAATCTATGTTGAAGATGTTCTGTATTCTAATACTCAACAGATTAATGCACTGGAGCCATACCAGACAAACAAACAACTTACAAAAATGGAATTCAAACTGGAAAATACATATGAATAAAATGCAATCTCACTAGTCGTAAAAAAACATATAAAACTTAAAACCAGGATTCTATTTTTCACCTATAAAATTGTCATGTTACAAATTATAATAATGCATTTCTTTTTTTTTTTTTTAAGAGGAAGTTTTGCTCCTGTTTCCCAGGCTGGAGTATGAATACGGCTTATGACATGCTTAAGAATGACAAAAATGTGCTCTGTTCTCTGTTGCTGTTCGTAGAATAAATTAGTTAAAGCCTTTTGGAAAACTAATTTGGCAATACATATCCAAATCTCCTTAACCCAGCAATTTAATTTCTGAAAATCTAGTTAAATGAATAATTTCAAAGATTTTTGCATCAGGAAAACCTGGAAGCAAATATCCAACTTCAATATTCAAAAATAGGAAAATGGTTAAATGAATATTGACACTGTAAACATGTATAACATGGAAAATGAGTATGATGTGGCATTGAATAAAGAAAATAAGATTCAAAAGAATCCGTTCGATATTATCACAACTACATTGAAACCTGTATTGCATACACACACACACACACACACACACAAACCCACACACAAATGATTTCATTTACTCCTCTCAACAATCAGTGAGGAAACTGAGACACAGGAGGGTTCAGGAACTGGCAGCTGGTCACGTAGCAAATGGTAGAGCCAAATTGTATGCCCATGTTCTTCCCAAAATATCACAAAAGAAACCACTAACTGTGAACAATGCTTGTTGAACTTGGAATCTGAAAGCTCCTATTTACATATTTTAAGTCCATGATTAGATTTTATAACTCAAGTAATCCTACTCTGTGAGATCTCAAAGAGTACTTTTATCTCATCCAACTAGGCCTGCTCCAGGAAGAAGCCTCCAGAAGTCAAGTCAGCCTTCAGAAACAGACAGAAGAATCTGGTGTGTTGCTGACCGAACTCCCAGGGAATCCACCCATCTTTGGGCAGAAGGCCCTTGCAAAATGACCCTAGGCCAATTTCAGCGATTTACACACAACCTGTGATGGTTAACACTGAGTGTCAACTTGACTGGATTGAAGGATGCAAAGTACTGATCCTGGGTGTGTCTGTGAGGGTGCTGCCAAAGGAGGTGAACATTTGAGTCAGTGGGCTGGGAAAGGCAGACCCACCCTTAATCTCGTGGGCATAATCTAACCAGCTGCCAATGAATATAAAGCAGGCAGAAAAACATGAAGAGGAGAGACTGGCCCAGCCTCCCAGCCTACATCTTTCTCTCATGCTGGAGGATTCCTGCCCTCAAACATTGGACTCCCAGTTCTTCAGTTTTGAGACTTGGACTGGCTCTCCTTGCTCCTCAAGCTTGCAGACACCCTGTTGTGGGACCTTATGATCATGTAACTTAATACTTTCTCTCTCTATATATATATATACACACACACACACACACATATACACACATACATATACACACACATATATATACACACACACATATACACACACATATATACACACATATATATACACACATACATATACACACACACATATACACACACACATATACACACACACACATATACACACATATATACACACATACTGTTGAGCAGTCTTTCTTCCTTGGTAATAACAGAACCCTGACTTTTAGAGAGGAACATTGCCTTTTGGAATAAGACTACACTTCCAGCTTCTTCCCAGCTAGTTTACTGGCCAATGAGATGCAAGAAAAAACTGGGAAGCACAGTAAAGGAAGGCCTGGCCCCCTTTTCCCTTTGCCCCTTCCCGCCTCGTATTTTCTGGGAATGAGAAGACCTTCACCAAAGATGGCAGTCACAAACTAGGATGTTAGGGCAGAAACATAAAAGGACGCTGAGTCTTGACATACAGAGACCTTGAACTGCCTACATGCAGACTTCTTTGATGTGAGAAAATCAAACCCTTATGTGTATAAGTCACTGTCATTTTTGGCTGTTATATACAGCCTGGTCTAATTCCTAAATGGCTAGCCTCTCTTTCCCAAGGTTTAAAAGTATCTTAACTTACATAGAAATATACATTTTTTTTTTTTTTTTTTTTTTTTTTTTTTGAGACGGAGTCTTGCTCTGTCGCCCGGGCTGGAGTGCAGTGGCCGGATCTCAGCTCACTGCAAGCTCCGCCTCCCGGGTTTACGCCATTCTCCTGCCTCAGCCTCCCGAGTAGCGAGGACTACAGGCGCCGCCACCTCGCCCGGCTAGTTTTTTGTGTTTTTAGTAGAGACGGGGTTTCACCGTGTTAGCCAGGATGGTCTCGATCTCCTGACCTCGTGATCCACCCGTCTCGGCCTCCCAAAGTGCTGGGATTACAGGCTTGAGCCATACATTTATAAATTAGAACATTCTTATGACTGGGCCAGGTTCACCAGCGCAAAGTTAACCTTGGACTCATGAAACATTTTGGACCAAAACATATACTTTATCTAAACCACACATTGGCATAGTCTTGGCATTCTATTTTCATGCTGAAAGAAAGCAATATTCTGCCAAAGAAGATCTTTTTCTTTTTCTTTTTCTGTCACCCAGGCTGGAGTGCAGTGAGGTGATCTCAGCTCACTGTAACCTCCGCCTCTCAGGATCAAGCAATTCTACCACCTTGGCCTGCCAAGTAGTTGGGACTACAGGCACGTGCCACCAAACCCAGCTAATTTTTGTACTTTTAGTAGAGACAAGTCTTCACCATGTTGGCCAGGCTGGTCTTGAACTCCTAAGCTCAAGCAATGTGCCCGCCTCAGCCTCCCAAACTGCTGGAATTACAGGCGTGAGTCACCACACCCAGCACCAAAGAAGGTCCTTAACACATAGGCAAACACCTGGACATTTTTGCTGGTGGTCATTGTTCAATCCAAGCGCCAAACTGAACTCTAAGTAACAACTTCTTTTCAACCTAATCAGATATGTTAGAGGTCTCCGAAAAGTGGTCAAATGTTCACAAGCTGAATTCTGGTTGAAAGCTTTCTACACTTCCAATCTGTTTCTCCTTAGGAGGAACTCCAGCTGGCCCCTCTTTTAGCAAGTTCTCATTCTTCTTTAAGACCTTTAGAGAAATGTCCTTCAGTGTGGTTAGAGGTAGCTGGACCCTAGTGGTGGCCTCTGCATAGCCACTCTGAGAGTCAACCTGCCAGGACCTCTCTCTGTTCCCCTGCCACAGGGCTGCCTTCCAGCCCCTCAGGCAGTCCTCCTCCTCACTGGGCCAGCTCCATGTCCCTTATGGTGTGGGGAATTGGTGAGGGGGTGGACTTAAATAACTTATTTTTATAATGACTAAATGTTAAAATATGTTATTCCATAAGAAAAGAAAAATGTTAAGGAGTACCTTCTTTGGGAAATGTTTGTTAATAACTAACATTTATTGAATACTTACTATGTTCTGGGCACTGTACTAAACACCTTTTTAAATACTGTCACCACGTTTGAGATCTAAAACAGGGTTGGAGAGGTGAAGTAGCTCTACCTGATGTGACTGCAGGGATTTAATTCCAAGTCTACCCAATTCCAAAGCCTGATCCTGTTTTGTTTTGTTTGAGACAGGGTCTCACTCTGTCACCTAGGCTGGAGTGCAGTGGCACGATCATGGCTCACTGTAGCATCAAAGTCCTGGGCTGAAGGGATCCTCCGACCTCAGCCTCCCAAGTAGCTGGGACTACAGTCATGAGCCACCACACCCAGCTAATTTTTGTATTTTTTGTAGAGATGGTGTTTCTCCATGTTGCCCAAGCTGATCTTGAACTCCTCAGCTCAAGCAATCTACCTGCCTCGGCCTCCCAAAGTGCTGAGATTACAGGCATGAGCCACTGTACCCACCTGAGCCACCGCACCCGGCACCCACCTGATCCTTCAATGCTTAGGGAACACTGCAGTTTGAAAATGCTACCAATGTTCTAATGCCACTAGAACACACGTTCTCAACAAGGGTGATATTGCCCTCAAGAGAGCAAAAGCTGGTTCTTAGTGGCCAACTAAAAAAAAAAAAAAAAGAAAACCAGTCGTTACTCCTTTTAGGTATAAGGCACAGATATACATACAGTGCATAATGGATTTGCAGTTTACCTGTGGTATTAAATTTTCCTGAGAGGAGGGGGCAGTTAGGGAAAAAAATATAAAAAGGCTCCTTACAGGGACAATAATCAATAATGAAAACAAGGTTGAGCAACAGTGTGTTAGGACATTTTGGCAAAGAGCATGTTTACTGAAAGCAAGCACTGTCTTACACAACTCCCAAGGTTTTCTCAGGGCACAGAAGACAGCGTCAACACCTGAGCTTTGTTCACTGAAACCTTTTAGTCATTATGCCGTGTGATCCTCCCAAGAATCCCTTCATGAAATCACTAAGGAAGATATTTACTCTCCACTTTTAATAGATGAGGGATCTGAGCTTTAGAGATGGTAATCACTACCTACATTTAGTACCAAATAAAACTACCCTTTAAGAATAAAAAGTGATATAAAGAAATTTGTAAACAAAGCAAAACCGAGTTTGTTATAAACAGAACTTCAGTAAGAGAACTGTAAAGTCTGAGATGTATGAAAGAATGAAAGAAAGCAAAGTGGTTAACATGTGAACAAATCTATAGGAATGTTGATATATAAAACCATAGTTGTAATGTCTACTTTGGGGGCTTCCAGACATAAGACAGAACTAAAATACCGGGCAACAATGGCATATAAGTCAGTGGGGAGTGGTTAGAGGTTAAGCATGCTCAAGTCGTTGATTTGGTCAGGAGAAGAGTAAAGATAGTAATTTGAGAAAGTAAGCTAAATATACATGTTAAATTTCCAGGTTAAAAAAAATAGAAGACATCAAGAATTAACTGCCAAATCAGAAGAATGAAAAGTGGAAGGAGGCTGGGAGCGGTGGCTCACACCTGTAATCTCAGCACTTTGGGAGGCTGGGGTGGGCGGATCACCTGAGGTCAGGAGTTCAAAACCAGCCTGGCCAACATGGTAAAACCCCATCTCTACTAAAAAATACAAAAATTAGCTGGGAATGGTGGCTCTTCCCTGTAATCCCAGCTACTCAGGAGGCTGAGGCAGAAGAATCACTTGAATCGGGGAGGCGGAGGTTGCAGTGAGCTGAGATGGTGCCACTGCACTCCAGCCTAGGTAACAGAGTGAGACTCTGTCTCAAAAAAAATAAAATATAAATATAAATATAAATGGAAGGAGCGAATCCTATACTTCTCATGACAAATGTTATAAATCATTCAAAAATTATCAAATTGAGTCTTTAAATTCACTTAAAATTATCATCCTTCAATATAGTTGAATGTTGCTTAAAATCATTTGCATGGGTACAAAATTTTTTATACTAAAAATAAGAAAATGTTTTTCTTTATGGCTTAAAAATTGCCTATGGCTTACATAGTGTTTCCTCAAGGGTGGTCCGTAACTCCAGCCTCCTGAGATGCTTTGCCCCAAGGGAAAGCATCCATGATCCAGCCATCTGAGGGATGCTGCACAGCACAGCCTCACCTGTAGACTCACAAAGCTGTGTGGCCCTAAGACTTATACTTAGTAAAGAAGTCTGCCTGCCTTGATTAACTCTGGTGTTTTCCAACCATTTTTTTCCCCACTCCATGAAATACACTAAAACTCCACACACTAAAACAAAAACCAAACTCTGGGGAGCTCTAAATTAAAGCTTTTGTTATTGTTGTTGTTGTTGTTGTTGTTGTTGTTGAGATGGAGTCTCTGTATCCCTGGCTGGAGTACAGTGGCGCAGTCTCGGCTCACTGCAACCTCTGCCTCCCGGGTTCAAACGATTCTCCCACCTCAGCCCTAAGTAGCTGGGATTACAGGCGCCTGCCACCCTGCCTGGCTAATTTTTATATTTTTGTAGTGATAAGGTTTCACCTCATTGGCCAGGCTGGTCTTGAATTCCTGACCTCAGGTGATCCACCCACCTCGACCTCCCAAAGTGGGATTATGGGCATGAGCCACCGTGCCTGGCAGTTAAAGCCTTCTTGTTTGAGCCAGATGGCTAAGATTGAGAACTCACCAAAAATGCAAAATGTAGACTCAATTCTTTTGAAGTTTCACAGAACTGTTTTAAAAGGTTGAAACTGCAACCTCAAGCATTTTGAAACATGGCCGTGTCAGCCACTCGCACAACCTCACAAGTACACTCCTTGCTACCCAGAAATAACACTGCCTCCGTGACCCCACACACATGCCCACGGAGTTTCTCTGGTGTGGGCTTGTAGGAAAGACAGTGATTGAAACAGCATGCCCAGCATTCTCTCACAGCCTCACGCCTTCTGCCGTCCCACCACAGAAATGATCATGGTTAGTTTGCTCACCTCATTGTTCTCCTTCGTTCACTGCTTACCCACCATCTTCTTCCTCTCCAGTCTAGCTTTGGAAGCTTGAAAGGAGTTGAGACTAAAGAGATATTTCTGAGATAGTCTCCTGGCTCCCTGGGATAAAGTCCATGGATTAAAGTCCCCCAGAATAGTCACTTTCTTTCCCTATGTGGGCCTCAGTTTCCCCAGTGGTCCAAGGAAAGGGTAGAAAGCATGGCTTCTGAACCCCTTCTAATCTCTAATTGTACATCTGTAAAATGAAGGGATGGAAGATGATGATGCCTGACTTTTCTTCCAGCTCTTACATTCTCCAATCTCAGGAATCACCTCACTTTACTCTCTCTCAGAAAAGACAGCTGTAGCTCAGAGAGATGACGTGACTTGCCCAAGGCTATGCAGCAGGGACTAGACTTGCCGGGCCCGAGTCCTGCCTAGCTCAGCATTCATGTGTTTTTACATGTGTGCTGTGTGTGTATATGTGAGCACATATTTGTGAATACATGACAAGGTGGCATATTCTAAAGATTCTTTGTGTGCACGTGTGAGTCTAAGATTTATTTCTTCATTTCTTGTATTTGAAGTACTCTTCAATGACATCCTTGGCCTGAGACTCTTTGCCATAGTCCTTAACTACTACACAACTGCTACTAACCACTTTATAGGGTTTCCCCCCTCTGTCAGTTTTACAGAGGCCTGCCCATTCCCCTAGTTTCTTGTTGTCATCACCCTTAATTAGGTTGATTTGGTGTTCAGCACAAAGGGCCTCCACCAACTTGACATACATAGGCCCATCACAGTTGGCTGCAAGCACACAAAGATGGGCTTGGCGCTTGTCCAAGGCTTTGGCAGCTTTGCAAATTCTGCATGCTAGGCCATCGTGGATGAGGGCGGTCTTCAGCACCTCTTGTAAAGCAGTATTAACGTCCATTACACCTCTAACAGAAATGCCTTTCTCGGCCGTGGCGGTGGGTTATGGGGGAAGCCCAATCTTGAATGCACCAAAGCCTCCGCCTCCGCACAACTCAGCGGTGTCAGGGAAAAAGCATATTGTAAAGATTGTCGTTGAGCTCAGACATTTCCTAAGGCACCCATGCAGGTCAGGGGTGCTGTGCAGTCAGTCTTGGATGTGAAGCAGGAGGGAGCAGACGTGAGGAGGTAGGAGCTACAGGAATGCTCAAAGGATCACATCTCCTTCCTCCTCCCCAGTCTCTGCATCACAGGGGCTCATGCTCCTTGCTTAGCCTGTTGAGGTTACCTGAAACCAGTCCAGGCTGGTGAGCTGCTTTCTGCTCCCAGCTCAGGAGCACCAGGCAGGACTAAGCACAGCCAGCCATCAAATTCTGCCTGATCTAGCCCAGTGCAATTATTGGCATTTTGTTTCTACCTCCATGTTTTGACCCTGGGTTCATCAGCTTGACCTTTAGCCCTAAAAGACACTATCATATTTGCTGAGTTTGGCGGCATTTCCACAGCTGCTTCTGTCTTTACACCCTGCAGCTCCTCCTCTGCCATTCCACTCAGCACTTCTCTCCCCCAAAATCCGCAGGTGCCTATCCCCACAGTGGCTGTTCCTGCAAGTCTCCCTGCTTTGATCAGATTCCCATGCTGTCTGACAGCCATTTTTTTTTAATGTTTGTACCCTACTGCTAGTCACCCACTCAAAGGAGGCCAAAACTACAATTCCTCTTTCCTCTTTTCCATCCATGCTGATATCATGTCTCTAAGGCTCACTTACACTTCTATTATCTTCTCCACTGAGGTAGAGATTATAAATCAATACATGTCATAACCTCAGTGTACGGGATGGCTGTGTGTGGGTGAGAGAGAGAGAGAGAGAGAGAACACAAATGTTGGGATAGTAGAAATTGCCACTAACTGATGTGTTACAATATAAAGAGGGAATACTGCTTATCTTCCAATTCCTATTTTCAAAGTCAGACTCATCTTTCCAGAACTGTCACTCCCAGCTGTGGGAATAAAGTTCAGGAGCTCAGATTGCCTTAGCTCCCTCCTTCTCACTCCAATGGGTAGTTCATACCAGCTCCACCTTCCATCCCCAGGAGGAGCCCCTTCCAGGTTCCTTGACACCTGCCCCATCATACATCTTACCCCATGGTGAGCTGAAGCTCCAGCTCAGCCCCAGGGGCAACTGGCCTAGAGTGAACCATTTCTCAGGATCTCACTGGAGGTGGGAGGAGGTGGGTGGAGGAAGGTTTTGGTGGGTAAGCAAGGGGCAGAGGGACATGGTAGCACTGCTCCAATTGTTGTTGCTTTGAGATGGAGGCATTAAAGGATAAATTCGTGAAAGACAGAGAGACTGGAAGGATTTCCTCTCATGGGATCCAACCCTGGCCACGCCACAGAATCCCTGTGACGCTTTCAAATAATGTGAATGTGCTGAGCACATCCCAGACCAAGGAAACTGAAACTCCAGGTGCGTAGCCCAAGAACCTGTGTCTGAAAAAAGTTCCCCAGGTGATTCAGATACACAGCAATATAACCTGACCTCCTGATACAACAGGAAGCATACAACATCACCAATGAAGATACAACTGATGGAGCCATGCCTCCCCACTCCCTCCCCTTCTCACTCCAATGGGTAGTTCATAACAGCTCCACCTCCATCCTCAGGAGAGCCTCCCTTCCAGGTTCCTCGGACACCTGCCCCAATATACACTATCTTACCCCATGATGAAGCTCCAGCTCAGCCCCAGGGGCAACTGGCCTAGAGTGAACCATTTCTCAGGATCTCACTGGAGGTGGGAGGAGGTGGGTGGAGGAAGGTTTTGGTGGGTAAGCAAGGGGCAGAGGGACATGGTAGCACTGCTCCAATTGTTGTTGCTTTGAGATGGAGGCATTAAAGGATAAATTCGTGAAAGACAGAGAGACTGGAAGGATTTCCTCCCCATGGGATCCAACCCTGGCCACGCCTCACAGAATCCCTGTGACGCTTTCAAATAATGTGAATGCTGAGCACATCCCAGACCAAGGAACTGAAAAAAAAAAACCCAGGTGCGTAGCCCAAGAACCTGTGTCTGAAAAGTTCCCCAGGTGATTCAGATACACAGTAATATAACCTGACTGATACAACAGGAAGCATACAACATCACCAATGAAGATGCCAACTGATACACAACAGGAAGCATACAACATCAACAGCCAATGAAGATGCAAACTGATACAACAGGAAGCATACAACATCACCAATGAAGATACAACTGATACAACAGGAAGCATACAACATCACCAATGAAGATACAACTGATACAACAGGAAGCATACAACATCACCAATGAAACATTCTTGACAAAAATGTCTAACCTGAATCCAACCATGAGAATGCAATGTGACAAATCCAGTTGTGGGACATTCTATAACACAACAGGCCTGAATTCTTTTAAAAAGTCAGTATCATTTTAAAAAAGGAAGGAAGGAAGGAAGGAAGGAAGGAAGGAAGGAAGGAAGGAAGGTGTCTGAAAGTTCCCAGGTGATTCAGACACAGCAATACAAACCTGACCTCCTCCTGATACAAACATAGTGGTGTCACAACATCACCAATGAAGATACAACTGATACAACAGGAAGCATACAACATCACCAATGAAGATACAACTGATACAACAGGAAGCATACAACATCACCAATGAAGATACAACTGATACAACAGGAAGCATACAACATCACTAATGTGAAACATTCTTATTGAGTAAATGGGTTCAACCTGAATCCAACCATGAGAATGCATGTGACAACTAGTTGGAGATCTGACAATGACATTGAGGCCCACCTCTTTTAAAAGCCATCATTTTAAAAAGGAAGGAAGGGAAGGAAGGAAGGAAGGAAGGAAGGAAGGAAGGAAGGAAGGAAGGAAGGAAGGAAGGAAGGAAAGAAAGAAAGAAGGAAGGAAAGAAAGAAGGAAGGAAGGAAAAAAGTTGACCAGATGCAGTGGCCCACTCCTGTAATCCCAGCACTTTGGGAGGCTGAGGTGGGCAGATCACCTGAGGTCAGGAGTTGGAGACCAGCCTGGCCAACATGATGAAACCCCATCTCTACTGAAAATACAAAAATTAGCCAGGCGTGGTGGCAGGCGCTTGTAATCTCAACTACTAGGGAGGCCGAAGCAGAAGAATCACTTGAACCCAGGAGGCAGAGGTTGCAGTGAGCCAAGATCACACCACTGTACTCCAGCCTGGGTGACAGAGTGAGAGCTTGTCTCAAAAAAAAAAGAAAGAAAGAAAGAAAGAAAAGTCATGGACAGCGGGCTGCTTTAGATTAAAAGGTACTTAAAAAGACATAATATGAGACATAACACAATGCATAAATTTGAATTAGATCTCAGAATTAAAACACACATGCAAATATAAAAAATATTTTGGAGCCAATTGTAGAAATTTGAATATAGAATGCAAATTAATTATAAAATTATTAATTTTCTTAGTTGTAATGATAATGTTGTGGCTGTATAGAAGTTTCTTACTTTTACAAACTGCTGCTAAATGTGTGAGAGTGAAGTGCTATGATTTCTACAGCTTTCTTTCAAATGGATCAGCATAAAAGAAATGTAGAAAACAGGAGATTAATGAAATGTGGCAAACTGGTGACAACTGGTAAATCTAGTGAAGGATATTTGTGTATTTACTCTGCCTTTTTCTCTCTTTCTCTGAGATAGGGTCTCGCTCTTTCACCCAGGCTGGAGTGCAGTGGCACAATCATAGCTGACTGTATCCTCAAACTCCTGGGCTCTTGTGATTCTCCTACCTCAGCCTCCTGAGTTGCTAGGATTACAGGTGGCCACCACCCTGCCTAGCTAATTTTTCTTTAGTTTTTGTGTAGAGACAGGGTCTTGCTACGCTGCTTAGGCTGTTCTTGAACTCTGAGATTCAAGTGATCCTCCCGCCTTGGCCTCCCAAATTCCTGGGAGTATAGGTGTGAGCCAAAGCACCCAGTCAGTTCTACCATTCTTTTAAATGTGCAGTTTTAATATTTTTGACACCCCAGATACCTATGTGGCTGCACACAATCAAAGTTACCACCCTTCCCAGCTCTTCTCCAGCCCCTCCCTTCCAATTCTGAGGTCCTAGAGTCCCTAGAACAGTGGTTCTCAAACCTCTGCACGCAAGAGCCTGGAGGTCACATTAAAGCACAGACTGCTGGGCCCAACCCCTAGGGTTTCTGCTTCATAGGTCAGCTGTAGGGCCGAGAGTGTGCATTTCTATCAAACACCCAGGTGATGCCGATTAGAGGCCTCACTCCAAGAACTACTCCCCCAGAGGGCTAGAAGATAGGCCAATGCCCCTATTCATAGTTCATCTCCGAGATATGCTATAGCCTCCAGCCGGCAAAGCCAAGATGCTTCATCTTTTCCAGGAAAAGTTTGGGTAATTTGGCAATAACACCCACCAGAGGGCAGCAAACTCCAGTGGAAAGAAATTTTCAGGAAAGGAAAGGAATTTGACTGAACTCCTGGGGCCCCTTCCTGAGGATTCTGACATCCTACAGAGGACTGAGGTGGTTGAGGCCATCGGGGTCAGACTATAATAATTCCCTACATTTGGTTAACGCTTCATGTCAAACTTTCCCGTACTATACAATGGTCCTGAGGCAACAGAGCTTCAACATCTCTATGTGACAGATAAGATAACAAGGCTCAGAAAGATGAAGTGAAGGTGACTTGTCCAAGATGAGAGGGCTGGTGATTTATCAGATCAGGAACTTGGGTGCAGGCTGCCTGATGCCTCATTTCTTGCTTTCCCTCACGCCTATCTGCAGTAATAGCCTCTGGGATTTCTTGATGATTTTTTACGTATTTCCTCTTTTAATTTTCACAGTTACCTATAAGGCATGCTTTCCAGTTACCTCCACTTTACAGACAAGGTAAGGGAGGTGGGAGGAAACGGACTCGCCCAATTAATAAGTAGTGAAGCTGGGATTTGAACTCAGGCCTGTCTGACTCAA